CTTCTCCTTCGTTTCCCACCATCCTCATCACTCTTACATCATCTCCTTTTTTGCCCTAGATTCCGTTCGGACCGCCGGGCGACGTGGGTGACCCTGGGCCCAGCATCCAAGGTCAGCCCGGATACCCAGGGTCAAAGGGCGAGAAAGGGGAGCGAGGACCTTCCATGCCAGGGATCGACGGGCGTCCAGGGCCAGCGGGAGTGCCAGGGGAGGACGGGGTCAAGGGAGTCCCTGGCACCCTGGGAGACCTGCTATGACGTGAGATATATATTTGTTTGTGTGTGTGCATAACGTATACTAATATGCATATTCATCTGTGTATAGATATGCATATGTTTATATATATATATATATATATATATATATATATATATATATATATATATATATCATATATATATATATATATTGAGAGTTGAAGCCTGACTAGAAATATAATTAAAGGTTTTGTTCAATAAATATCCTATGATGTAACACATGTATGTACCATTGGCGACATAGATAAGCATTCATGTTGCAGACGCCTTCCCCTCAGACTGCCCGAGCATTCCCAATTCCCAGCCTCATTCCCGATCCTCACTGCCCCCCCAGGGAGAAAAGGGAACCAGGGGCTTCGACGGACCTCCCGGTGCCCCTGGTCCCTCCCGGCCCCCCAGGTTCTCTCGGCTCGTCTGGCGGTGACGGAGACCTCGGTCCACGGGGCGAGCCTGGCGTTGGCGGCCCAGGGGTCAGAGGCTCACCCGGGGACACAGGGAGAAGTGGCTCCCCGGGGGCACCTGGCCCTCAGGGGGAGCCGGGCTCTACGGGGTCACCTGGGAGGGACGGAGTGGGGTTCAAGGGGGTCAAGGGCGCACCTGGCGACGAGGGGGCCACAGGTGAGGATAAGAGGTCGTGAGAGGTCGTGTTGGGTTGGAAAGCAGGGTCCAGAGGCGCTTTGGCGAGTGGGCGTCGATGGGGCTTGGTCTTCTCGGGTGTGGACTCGCGTTGGGCGGCCTCTCATGTCGTCTTCTAAATCTGGAGACTTGTTTTGAACAGCTTTCTTTATGTGAAATAATGGCAGTCATGATAATGATAATGCAAAAGATGAGAATAGTAATGATGATAAATATATTGATAATAATGATGATAAAAATATTGATAATAATGATGATAATATATGATAATTGAATAGATAAAGATATGGATAATAACGATGATAAATCAATAATTAATGATGATATAAATAATGATAATGATAATATATAATAATCAATAATAGATAAACAAATAAATAAATCATACATTTTTCAGGGCGCCTTCCCATCTACGAACACCATTTTTTTTTTTTTTTTTTTTTTTTTTTTTTTAATAACCATGTGAAACCCCGTCTTTCTCCCCCAGGGGTAAGGGGAAACCCCGGGCGGCCAGGTCCTGACGGAGGCGTTGGGTACAAGGGAGAAGAAGGAGACAGAGGTACAAGTGGGTATCCTGCTCTCGACGGCAGACCAGGGGTGGAGGTGAGGTTTCCGTCTGTTTGTCTGTCTGTCTGTCAGTTTATCTATCTATCTCTCTCGCTCGCTCGCTCGCTCACGCGTTCTCTCTCTCTCTCTCTCTCTCTTTCTCTCCTCTTTTGCTCTCTCTCGTCTCTCCTCTCTCTCTCTCTCTCTCTCTCTCTCTCTCTCTCTCTCTCTCTCTCTCTCTCTCTCTCTCTCTCTCTCTCTCCTCTCTCTCTCTCTCTCTCTCTCTCTCTCTCTCTCTCTCTCTCTCTCTCTCTCTCTCTCTCTCTCTCTCTCTCTCTGTATATGTGTGTGAGCACAAATTTATGCATGTATATGTTCATATGTGGGTGCGTGTGTTTAAATATATATATAATATATATATATATATATATATATATATATATATATATTATATATATATATATATATATATATAATATACATATTATATAATGTATACATAGATATTATTGTTTTAATAATGAATATACTTACACTCACAATACAACCGCACATCGTCCTTTATTCCTCGTCCTTCCTCCCTCGCCCCCCCCCTTCCCGCCACGGGGTCCCAAGGGCGAGGCAGGGAGCACCGCTTCCCGAGGCCGCCCCTGGCCAGTGTCTGGACATGATCTTGGAAGAGAGCGACGTTGGGATATCCTGGTGAGGAAAGAGAGGAGAAAGGAGATGATGTTTCGTGAGGGGAGGGAGAGAGAGAGGGGGGGGAAGAGATGAAATGAATCTAAAAAAATGTGTTGTGTGATTGTCTGTATGTGGAATTGTGTGTGTGTTTGTTTTTTTGTGGTATTGTGGTGTGTGGTGTGCGTGTATGTGTGTAGTGCTTGTCTGTCATGTGTCTGTGTGTGTGTGTGTGTGATTGTCTGTATGTGGAATTGTGTGCGTGTGTGTGTGTCGTGTAACTTGTGTGTGCTGATTGTCTGTACTGTGGTATTGTCATGTGTGTGTGTGGTGATTGTCTGTATCTGGAATTGGTGTGGTGTGTGATTGTTCTCTGCTATGTGGATTTGTGTGTGTGTGTCGTGTATTATCTCGTCTGTCACCTGTTGGTACTACATTTGTGGTCTGTGTGTGTGTACGTGTGTCAATTATGCCCACGCTCGATTTGCTCTTGCATCTGATTATTGTGCGCTCCGTGTGTGGTAGTGTGTTAGTGATTGTCTCTGTAATGTGTTGAATTGTGGCGTCTCCGCTGTCGTGCTGTACGTGTGTACGTTGTGTAGTGATTGTCTGTATGCTTGAACCTTGTGTGTCGTAGCTCGTGTGCTCGCATCTCGCCTGTCTGTGGAATTGTGTGTGTGTGTGTGTGATTGCTGTATGTGGATACTCTCAGATAGGTGTTGCGTCGCTGTGATTGTCTGTATGTGGACATTCGTGCGGGCGTGTGTGTGTGTCGTGATTTGTCTTCATGTGGAACGGTCAAACACTTAACATTCACAGCACTCGTCCAGGACGCACACCCGGATCCGCCTAGCTAGGAGCGAGCTGAGTCCATAGGGGCCCAGGATGGTGCCTCGCTTGTAACGTAGGGCTGGCTTCGCGGCAGTCCCAAGGGAGCCGGCTTCGGACGGCCGAGGCTAGCCCGGGCCGACGGGGGCACCCGGCGCGGACGGGTTACAGATTATAAAGTGGAGGTAGGAAATGAGAGGACGTCCCGGCGAGCCACTGATTGAAAGACATGAGGGTTAGACGAGTGAAAGGCAATAAGATGGTGCTGAGAATAATGATATATTGAATCAAATGATATAATCAGTAATACAGGCAGGGCACATGATAATGGTCAGTAAGCCTTAGAAAGGCAAAAGCGTGAGTACGGGTAGGGTGAGGAGCGGGCGCCTCTCAGTCTCAGTAGAGTACACTTCTCGGAATCACAAAAGATTTTTCTTTCTCTGTCTCATCTCTCAATACGGAGTCGGGGTGGATCTCGGTGGAGTGTCGGTAGTTCTCCGGTTGGTGTTCGTGCTCGGCAGAGAGATCTCATACTTGCTCGTCGTCTACATGGTCATCTCGAACGAGTAGAGTCTCTGCAGAACACGATCTCCCAGAGAGACGAGTCAGAGAGACGAGATCTCGTGCAAGATCGTCGTCATAGATCGCATACACTCGCTACACGTAGCAACCTCCCTCCCGTCCCAGTAACCCGTAGCGCCATCAAGACGTCGCAGCAGAGTGCAGCTCATCTCGAAAGAGAAGAGGAGGATCGATCGTAGCAGCAGAGAGAGAGAGAGTCCAGCTCAGACATCACGAAGAGAGAGATCTCATCGTCACGTACGTACGTCTACGACTCTCACTCGTACGCCATGCACGGCCTCGGCCCTGCGTCGCCTCGTCGCATCTCACACACTCCTTCGTACTCTCCTCATACACACTGATCCGCCTACGATAAAAGCACATTCTCACTCGCTCAGAAATCGTGCGATGCACCATCTCACTTCACTAACTACGCTGTCTACAATCTATATCTATACCTCTCTATGCAAACATTATATATCCCTCACCCAATATAAAACCGTATACATCAGTATATATATATACTCAATGATAATATCCGATACTAGAGCTATCACTCATATTATATCATAAACCGCGTATACAGTCAGCTGGTGTCTTATCCAATGAGGGGAAGAGGACAGAGGACGAAGGAAGGTCCACGCGCAGGGGTTGCAGGCGAAAGAGCGGACTATACCGGGACATGGGGCAACTTCCAGGTTCCTCCAACGCCGTCGCAGGTGGTCAGGGGCGGCCGGGAGACAGGGCGCCTAAGGGAGCCGACACGGGGCGAGGAGGATAGGGAGGCCGAGAGGAAGCGTGGTTAAGGAGGGGAAATTTTAACAGCCTTACTTATACACTTGTCTAAAATCTTTCTCAGAGGTTAATTATTATCCAAAGCACATCTCACCTCTACTTCACTTAACGTGACAGTCTTCTTCTTTTCCATGTTTTGGAAATGGTCTTAGTGGTTGGTTAAATATCGGTATGTTTATTGTCTGTTTTTTTTTTTGCTGCCCACGCCTAGTCTCTCTCCTGCTTATTTTAAGCCATTTTATTTTTGTCATACTCTCCTTTTCACTAATATCTCCATTGTTTTTTGTTTCATTATTTCTCCTTTTTTCGTATTTCGAATAAAACATTTTTTTCTTCCTCTTATCATTGTTTACTTCATCAGCACCCTCACCCGTTCTGCCTGTGTTCTTTGCACAACTATTCTCTTCGTATTCACTGAACTCTCGCACGCTCCTAATACTCATATATCCTCAATACTCCAATACTCAATCTCCTTTTATGGGCTTAATACTTCTTGACTCTGAAACCTAATAATGGCTCAGCTACCTTTTACATCTGTTTATATGGCTCAATAAACTCTTAATCTTAACCCTTCGGATCGACTCTAGTTCGGGCCACAAGAATGTCGTCAACACGAGTGACATTTGACGCCCGAAGTCTGGTTTCGAGGGGGGCCCCAGTGGGTACCTTCGACGGGCGAAAGAGCGCCTGTCCCTGGGTTGGGGCGCCCCTCGGAGCAGTCGAGGGTTCTTCCCCTTCCCGGTGGTCCTCTGACCTCAGCGGCTGAGCTGTCTCCGAGGCGGAGCTTGAGAGCGACAACCACGCGGCCGGAACACGGCGGGTAGCCAGACAGAGGGAGAAACGGTGGTCTGTATCTGGAGAGACAGACACCTATGGCTAATCGACGTAGGAGCTCTAAGGTGCAATGTATATCAGTTCTCGATGCGATGATCCAGTGATGATGGTAGATGTTAAGTAAGAGCATGATGATGATGGGTGTTGAATGGTGGTTGCATATATAATCGTTAGTTATAGGAGGGAGATATGTGAGTATACGGTGATGTTTCAAGTAACGCGAGGATGATAGCTGATTAGACTGATTGTTCTAGTTAAATGGTTTGGGGTGATGTTAATGAGGATGGAATTATATGTGATGTTAATTAAGTATGTAGATGACAATATGACCAGTGATGATTGGATTAATGTGGTTGGATATACTTGGATGGTGATGGGTTATATAGGTGTTGTGTGGTGTAGGAGGTTGTGATGTGGATTGTGAGATGGTGTGTGTAGTGGTGTGGAGGGTGTGTGTTGATGTGATGGTATGGTGTCAGTATGTAGGAGGAGTGTGTAGTATGTGTGTGTGTGGTTGAGTGCGGGTTGGGTTTGTGAGGTGTGTTTGTGTGGTATCGTTGTTGATGATGAATCGGAATGGGTTGGTTAATTGGTGGGAGATTGTTGTTAATGGGTGTGGGATGGGTGTGGTATGCGTAGGTGATTGGTGTGTTTGGATATGTTGAGATTGTTGATGATGGGTGTTTGTTTGTGGTGGTGGTGGTGTGGTGATGTTTTAAGTGATTATTGTGTGTGGTAATGATTAGTGAGGAGTCAGGTAGTGTATTGATATAGTGGTGGATAGATAATTTGACGATGATGAGAATATATGTGGATAATGACATTGATATTTATGGTGTGTCTGTAGATGGTGTGAGGTATCTGAATATAAGTTAATAATGTAATGTATAGTGGCAGTATTTGGTTAACTACAGTAGATGAAGGGCGAATTCAAAATAGCAGCATAAATGACAAATAACATAAACAAAGTATAAACTCAGAAGGTACAATAAATACATTAACAAGATAAAATAAAGTAAACATGGGACAGAAAACAAAAGAAATAAGGAATAAAAAGCAAAAAAATGAAAAATAAAACAATTCTAAACCCGACGCATACATTGAATCATCACAATCTATTTAACATCATCATCATATTTAGATAAACACAGGGTCCCCGTGGTTACCCTGGAGAAAATGGCTATCGCGGATCACCTGGTTTGCCTGGCCCTGGGGGAGACGAAGGGCCACCCGGACCACGAGGGCCACCAGGTGAGTGAGGGGGCTGGCAGGTGAGAAGGCGTTAATTAAGATTTATTACGTGGATTATTAAAGGGGGAAAGATGGTGTGTGTGTGTCTGTTTATTAAAGGGGAAAGGGGGGGGGGGGAAACATGGTCTGGGGGTGATATTTTTTATAATTTATTCTATTCTATGGGGGGGGAGGGGGGTGTTGTGAATAGTAATGAACGTTTGCGGGAATTTGTGTGTGTATGCGCCATCAACTTAATCCGTAGAGTCTACCCACTGAACTCACTGTACCATTCTCCCACAGAAAACCAACATAGAAAACGAGCCCTAAATAAGGAGAGACTTACCTAATCCAAAATAAACCCCAACGACATTCTCTTTTCCTTGTTTTGACAGGGATATCACCCACTAACGTTGGTGATCCAGGGATTGAGGGACCCCAAGGGCCACCGGGTCAGCCAGGGCGAACTGGTCCACAAGGCCCTAGAGGAGACACTGGGGCTCCTGGCGCGGACGGCCCTCAGGGTCCGCCTGGAAGTGGGGTTGGCCAACCCGGGTGGAAAGGGGAAGGGGGAAGACCAAAGGGTGAGTCTTATTTGTTCTTCCCTTTCCTTTACTTTAGTCTCTCTCTATATATGTCTATCTATATTATCTATCTTATATTATATAAGACGGAATAACGCATGAATAACATATATATATATAATTATATAATATATAGATAGGTAGGTCTAATAATATACAGTATAATAGGAATATATTATATATATATAAATAAATTATACAGATATGTTGTATGTATGTGATGTTTGGCTATTATACATAACGTACCTATAAAACCACACTACGGCTCTATATAAGTTATCTCTCTATCCATCTATTGATTCTAATCTCTTTTAATATATTGAACCAACGATCATATAATATATATAAATAAAGGGATGAAGTGTATTTTGTAATGATACTATATATATACTATATACTATATATAACTATATAATATATATATATGTTATGGCGATTCTTCGTAATTATTTTAATGTTAGTTAGTATACGTAGTAATGAGATGTATCCATTATGATTATTAGATACATTATCTTTATTTTTTATAAGTTTATCACGATCATTCATGAAGAATTCCATCTTATCTTTACCATTTCATCAGATATCAATCATTTATAATAATTATACATTTATCACTCCACCGAAATCTGCTAAATATCAACCAATTACCATATTATATTTCATTTCATCACCTATTGCTAATTTAATCACCAATTTATTCACATTCTAAGAAGAAAAATTATCTAACTGCATGTTCATCACTCTATTTATTCATTATGCATATCATTTTCAGCGGATTACCATTATTTTATTGTATCTATTAAGCATTAAGGTCTTCCAATCACCTATTTGCTATTGCTTTGGCTCACCTTGACTTTTTATTATTTCATCTACACACTCGAAGGTTCTACAAGGATATTTCGCCTTTCGGGTGACTTTGGACCACTGGACTTCCTTGGCCTGAGTGGTGTCCCTGGACCTCAGGGGATTTAGGATAAATGGTTTACTCTTTCTTCACCCTTAATTTTCTCTTCTCTTCCCCCGGGCCTATAGGAGATGCTGGGTAGGTTCCCCCGGTATGGATCACCCTGGTGAGTAGGGCATGGGGAGACAATGGGGGATGTGGGAGAGAGGCCCAGAGAGAGAGACAGACAGAGAGCGAGAGAGTAGAGAGAGCAGATGTGGAGGAGGGAGAGACGCAGTTATTTGATGCAGAGAGAGAGCATGGAGTTACAACTGTAGAAGGAGGAAGTGGTATACCGGATTTTTCGTTATTTCCTTTTTTCCCCTTTTCCGGGATATTCCTTATATACCGGACCTTTTTCCGGATTTCGAGAAATGTGGAGCTTATCTCTAAAAAATTACGGGTGACCGGCATGTGAGTAGACGTCGCGGGAGGGAGGGAGGGAGAGAGGAGACTGAGAAGGGAGGAAATGGTTTTTGAGAGAGGAGGTCAATAGGAAGGGTGATAGAGAGAGAGACAGAGCAGAAAAACAGACGATGGAGAGAGAGAGAGAGTAAAAATAAAAAATACTCAGTCATTATTATGATAATATACATATTACTACAGTTATAAGTAAACTTCAAGATGAAGGTAGTTATGATAATGGAAACGATAACAATAAAAATAGAAATTTCAACGATGATGATGATGATAATAATAATAACAATAAATAATAATAACACCCTTTTACAACCATCAACAACACTTTTACAACCATACAACACCTTTTACAACACTAACAACACATTTACAACTAACACACCCTTTACAACCGTAAACACGCATTTAGAACCATACAACCATTTACAACCATAACATTTCAACCTAACACACCCTTTACAACCATAACAACAACCTTTTACAAACCTAACAACACCCTTTTACAACCATAACAACACCCTTTTACAACCATAACAACACCCTTTTACAACCATAACAACACCCTTTTACAACCATAACAACACCCTTTTACAACCATAACGACATCCATTTAGAGCCATAACCCCACAGAGCCAAGGGACCCGCGGGTGAGCGAGGGGAGAGAGGACACACCTCCAACTACAGCGTGAGAGGGACCAGAGGTGACCAAGGGGACCCAGGTCTTCGAGAAGCTGGACCTCAAGGAGAACGAGGAGAAGACGGTGACCCTGGGGTGGAGGGGTATCCTGGACCCCCCGGGAAGGTGAGGCATGGAGGAAGGGAAGGTTTTGGGGACAGGGAAAGGAGTTTGAGAAGGTAAGACAAGGTAAGAAGGTAAGAGAGTAAGGCATTAAGCGAGAGAGAGTTACGTGTAAATATAGTGGAGAGAGTAGAGGAGGAGAGACTAATGTATATTTTCTTTGAAGATTTCTATATTTTCATCGGTTATGTGCATGAATCTACACAGATTTATAAGTAAAAGATTCATTTTAGAGTTTTATGAGTCTTCATTAAATAGTTAGAAGTTATTTTTTTGTGCATTGCTCAAGTTTACCAATAAAATCAACAAAAAACTCTGAATGAAAACCAAGTGAGAGAAAACGGAGTATCAATGTTGATTTTAAAGGATAACAATTATATTCCAAGTACGGGTAGTAGATGTAATTTCCTCTCTTTTTCTTTACCTTTTATATCATCATCTGCTTCTTCTTCTTCTTCTTCTTCTCTTTTGACAGTAGGAAAATAATGGCGCTGACCATGGTGACGATAGATATAACAAGAATAAAAATCTATAGTATGTAAAAGATACAAGTAGTTTAACAACACCGATATGATAACTCATAATGACCCTTAAAATCCTCATTAACCATCCTCTTATCTCCTAAAAAAAATAAAAGAACAAGAAATAGATAAAAATAGATAATCAACTTTGACAGGGCGAATGCGGTGACCCCGGACGTGAGGGCATTGGGGGCGGGCCAGGTCAACCAGGGTTATTTGGCGATATAGGACTGACAGGTGAGTCTTGTCGTCGTCTGTCTGTGTCTGTCAATCTAGTTCTAATTTCAAAGAATAAGGTGAATGAACAGATAGATAGATAGATAGTTTGATTGATTGATAGATAAAAAATATAGATAAATAGACATCTAAGCTAATTGACATAAATATTAGAGAGACAGATAAATAAACAAACATAATTGATAGATAGACAGAAAAATAAACAGACATAGATATTAGATAGACATAAATAAACCGACATAATTAATATAAAGACAGAGAAATAAACAGATATAATTAATAGAAAGATAAATAAACAGACACAAATAACAGACATAATAATTAGATAGACTATTAATTATTAGATAGGCAGGTAATTAAACAGAGATAGGTAAACAG